GGGGGGGGGGGGGGGGGGGGGGGGGGAAGAGAAGCAAGAGGGAAGCTGCTCCTGGCAGAAGGAGAGACGGGGGATTTCTGCTCCCGTGGCTACTACAAGGGCAGAAATGTAGTGTCTCTGCAGATACCTGATCCAGGCATTTGAAATGGATTGAAAAACCCCTTCTGACCACCACATCGGAATACGGGGTTCACGTGTGGATAATAGGGAGGAAATGGGAAGGTGGGCGTTAATGAGACCTTTCATTTTTAAGCAGAAAATAGTTTTGCTTTCATTGGTGCTTTGGTAAATGCATCTGCTGTGGGATTGTGTGCAAAAGGTGTATTGTTCAGGTGTCATAATTTTGACCGAGTTTTGAGAGATGAAATAATGCTCTTTCTCTCTGTGCATGTTTAGCCTGCGTTCTTATGTAATTTCTTTAGTTAATTGCAGCCAAATATCCTGACTCTCCGTAGCAATGCTTCACGGTTTATGGCTATGAAGCCCCACAGCTACGTAATCTCCAGCCGTTACAGGGATCGAGAACAGTTGCTGAATCATATGTAAAGCTTGCGATTGTGTGACTGATGTCACATTATCTTGAGAACATCACGGGATGTCACAGCATCCTGCTGAAATTCTGGGGTTAGATAGTTAGCACTGCCGCCACCACCACCACCCCGGTATTTTTACTCTGCTCCCTGTTGCCACCTATTTTAAAGTTCTAGAACCAAATAACAGGTGGACATAAATGCAGGTGTTGAGCAGAATCATTTTGCAGCAGAGCTTCTGCCTTCTGTCCCATCTCTTTCAGGCCAAGAACCAGCTTTGGGTTGAGGTGTGGTTTGTTGTACAGGCACAGTGGCCATCTTGACTTTTTTGACCACGCCTCTGTGGATGCCCCTGGGACACTGATGCTCTTAGGACCTGAAGCGTTACAAATTGAAATTATCCCTTCCCTTGCCCGTGGAGTCCATATATAGGTAGAGAGAATATAATGGAAATATTACAGTCTTAAGGAAAATACTTCTCTGCTTTTCTTTTTATAAGAAACCTCTTGATATTATTGCTTCTGGCTTCTGTTATTACTGCTTACTTTTATTTAATAACATTCTGTTATTCTGTCTTCTATTTCTACCAATTTTACAGATTTCCCGAGAAAGGATGTAGCTAAACATGACAACTTCATTAGTTGTGTCAGATAGTAAGAATGTGGTATTGATTTACGAGTTCTTAATGTTGTAGTTTTGACTCGTGTGGATTGCTGGGGGGGAAAAATCACACTCGGTGCTCCCAAAGATCCCTGTTAACCCCAGCCTTTCCTCTTTTCTCCTGGGAAGGAGGAAGGCTTAACTAGCGAGATGCTCAGTGTTTGCACGAGGAAGATGGTACTTTTGGCCCCTTTACTTCTGATGACGGGGCTGATTTCCACGAAGGCCGCTACGGCTGAGGAAGAATCAGGGACAGCGATTCCCGCGGAAAGCAAGTATTCAATTTCGTCTCTCCTCTCAAATCAACACATCCACATACATGTTACCTGTGGAGGGTTCTGGGATAAACCTAGGTGGGCGAACAGAGAGTCCTTCTAAAGAAGCCGACCACTACGCCCCACCTGTTGCATTGCGAGGTGCGTCCAGGGCTTTGAACAGGCAGCTGCAGCCCCCGTGGTGGTGGTGCTGGTGGTTATGCACCCACAGCCTTCGAGGTGCACCTGGGATCTTTGATCTCAAGCTGGATCACAGACTGCAGTTACCTTGCACACAGTGTAAATGTGTTTTGCTGCAAAAGATGAAATCGGCATTTTTCAACCCGAAATCACACCCAACAACGCTTGTCCCTCTCAGAGGGGCTCCTACAATATTTTTAGTTGCCTTGTAAAAGTGTGTTTTTGCCCATAGTTCAGCATCATAATAGACTACATAGTATGTATACTGCATATACGTTTTGGGAAGCATGAACTGAGTATGTTCACCCTCAGCCCAACCAAAATCCTTACAGTTAATCCTCAAATTATAACCATAATTGAGCCCCAAATTTCTGCTGCTAAGTGACACAGTTACGGGAGTTTTGTCCTATTCTATGACCTTTCTGACCACCATTGTTAAGCAACTGGGGACACAGCTGGGAAGAGAATTGGGCTTCCCCCGTGACTTTGCTTGTCCGAAGGTCACAAAAGGCCATCACATGATCCTGGGACGCTGCAACCGTCATAAGTACATGCCAGTTGCCAAGAGGAGATGCTGCAACAGTTGTCATAAGTGTGAAAAACGGTCATAAGCCCCTTTTCTCAGTGCCGTTGTAACTTTGAACGGTCACTAAACGAATTGTTGTAAGTGGAAGGTTACCTCTATTTCTTTCCTGAGTCGGAGTTCGCACAGGGCAAAGGAAAGCTGGCTTGTGCCAGCCTGGAAACTTCCTCCGGGGTCGTGTTTCTAGACCTCTGCAGTTTGAAGGTGGGTGGACCTCAATTCCCAGAGTTCCCCAGCCGTGTCGGTGGGGCAATTCCTGGAAGTGAAATCTGCACACTGTGAAATTGCTAATCAGATACATTCGTTGATTATTTTTTTCATCGCAACTTTTTAAACATCTTGGGGAAGCCAAAGAAGAATCGTCAAGCGTTTTGGGGCATGGTTTTTCTGCTTTTAAAAAAAAAGAAATCAATGCAATGGTTATGGGTCGCCACCAGAGGCAGTAACTTGATTGCAAACCCAGTCCAATCTAAAAATATTTTGATTAGTATAATGCACCATCAAAGGAATATTGTACCATCTGTGAATTGTTTCTGTAATTACTTCCTGATGACGTGCTCAGGTGGATTGACAGGCAGTTTTATGGCATAAAAAGCAGAGTCCCAAATTCAGAATCCAAATCCTCACCGAAAGACTCTCAGGAAAGCAGGTGTTGTAGAAGAAAAAATGTGGCATTAGATATTAGAGATGGCAGCAGAACGTTCTTCCATTCCTGTGTCATTTCTTGCTTGATAAAATAATAAAAGGTTGGGATTTGTGAGCAGCCGTTCACTGAAATGCATTCAGCCAGGATCCCTTTCCCATCAAGTCCCTCGTTTATCTCCGTCTTTGTCTTCCCGTTCTTTTTCCCAGCCATATTAATTCCCCCTAAGTGAACTTTTTTAAGCTGCTCTGTTTGGTAAAAATGCCTGTAATATTTAACTTTGCAGAAATGTGTTTACATTTTTAATTGTCTACCTTTGATTGTGGTATTTTATAGGAACTCTTAAAACAAAAATTCTACCAAAGGTATCGTAATACTTCTCACATATTAAGCCAAAGACTGTTTCCAGAATTTTTTCCAGAATTCCAGAGCTTTTGACCAGGGAATAGACAGGGAAGCTAAAGGGCATGGCATTGGTGCTTTTTCTGGCAGCGTTGCCATAGCTGCTATGTCGAAGTCCCCACCAAAGAGTCTACTCTGAGCCTCTCCCCTTTTTGAGGGGTGTTTTAACTCTTTGGAGAATGAAAATGAACGTGAACCCCTAACATGAAGATGGGGAATTTCTGGTCCAGGGATCCATTCACTCCATCTGCTGTTCCCAAAGCCTTTCTTTGAATCCCAATTTCTTCTGATCTTCAACTTCCCTGGGTGCAGAGAAAGGATTGGAAAAGTCCCTTCCTTCCTTCCTTCCTTCCTTCCTTCCTTCCTTCCTTCCTTCCTTCCTTCCTTCCTTCCTTCCTTCCTTCCTTCCTTCCTTCCTTGGAAAACGTGGCCGTCGTCTTGCCAGAACAAAGGCTGGAAACTCTTTCAGCCGTTCTTCTGATTCAGAGATTAGCAAACTGCCGCCCCACGGAAAGCTGATAGGCTGACTTCCTGTGCTCGCTGTGGAGCCTTGCACGCGTTCTGTACTATTTCCTGTTCTTTAAATGTTTCCATTCAAACCCACTTCCAGGTCGTCCCTGCGTTGACTGCCATGCCTTTGAATTCATGCAGAGGGCTTTGCAAGATTTAAAGAAGACGGCGTACAATTTAGATTCACGAGTATGACATTTATTTCTTATTCCATTCACTGCCCGCCCCTCTTGTTTCAAAGTGACTTTCGTTGCCCTTGATGCGCAGAGATCGCCGGCTTCAGGGAATGTGATGGGTATCAGGGTTGGTAGGAGAGGCAGGGCGTTTCCTTCCTCTTCTCCACCGGAAGAAAGGTTGCCGGGGGGGGGAAAGGGCAGCGAGGAGGGCGAGGGGAGAGAGGGGGGGGAATGCAAGGGCAGGCGGTCGACGGAGCCCTGAGCCTTTGGGGAACCCCCCACCCCTCGTTTTGCAGCTCAGGGTTGGGCAGTCAAGTTCCGGAGGGTAAACGCAGTTCCGCAGGGCTCGTCTTCCCAGACCTCCGGACACCAGGAGGTTTGGCTGGCTGGTTTTAAAGACGTTCGCCCTGGTCTGGTCTCCAGAGGCATCCCTGGACTCTTTATTGGCCTTCGGCTGGGTCAGATTTAAAGTAGTTTTCTCCTTCTGTCTCCTGCCCAATTATTTTGACCCTCATTGGTGACCCTGGTGATGAGGTGGAGCCGCCTGGCTCCCGTCGGCCCCTCTGCACGCTGCCTCCCCTGCGGCGGCTGGCTGGCACTGCCCTCCTTGCACCTTTTGGGCTGGGCTAGCAGGAGAAGGTGACCCTGGAAGCGGCTCCTGCTCTCACATGCAACCCCTGCCCTGACACCCCCTGGCTGCAGCAGCAGAGGACCGGGAAGGTGGCCTTTGGAAAGAGGGCTGGAGCAGTGCTTGAAGACGAGGCCGAGAGTCTGTGCTGCCCAGGGCCTCGGCTGCAGCCAGGGAGGAGAGCCAGAGGCAGGAGGGGCCTTACTCAGCCCTGGGCTGCTTTGCACCACTGGGAATGGCTCAGCCGCCACTTGGCCGCCTCCCGTCCCCCGTCTCCCACCTGACGCTCCTGAGGGCTGCTGCCCGTGACTGACCATTGCCATCCCCGTGCAAGGGGAGCCGGTTTGGGAAGTGGCAGGCCCAGGAAACAACCTGGGAGGAGGTGGGCTTAGGCAGAAGGGTCCCGGCAAGGCCTGCAGAGTTCGGCCTGCGTGGACTGAGCGCAGGGAGAGCTGGAGAAACGTGGGCCCGTCTCTGAATGTAACCCGGCTGAGGGGCCAGGGAGACCAAGGAGGAGGGGTCAGCGATGAAATGGGGAGGGGTCTCCCAATGGCTCACGGAGCTCCCTCTCCATTCACCCCAGGTCCCTCCCAGTGGGGGAGGAAGGCTCCCTGGTGCCCTGAGCACTGACACATGTTGGGGGCCCCCACCTCCTTTGTACCCGCTGTACAAACGGCGCCACTTTGTGGTGGCCCCTTTGGGCCTGGTGCCCTGAGCACGGGCTCCGTCCCCTTCGTGGTCAGTTCAGCCCATGCCGTCCCTCCTCTGCTTCGTGACCTTCAACTGATTCAGCCCCCCTCCCTCCCTCCTGGGTATCCCTTGCCCAGCCCCCTCGCATTCGGGCTCTTCTGGCTGGCTGGGGGGGTGCTGGGGGGCTCAGACCGAGGATTTAAAAGCGCCCCCCCCCATTAGAGTCACAGGGACCCTGGAAGGCTCGGCTGCTGAGACTGGCCCGTCGTCTCCTGCCAACTCCGGGCCTAGCGGGGGGGCTGCCCACTGATGCCGCTGTGACTTGGTCCCATCTCTGCCTTCCTGGGTCTGTTCAGATCCACCTGGGGAGCCAAGGGGTCCCGGGGCCCTTCCAACCCAGCCGTGCTTGGGGGTCAGGGCGTGCTTTCCTCCTGCTGCTCATCCCTTGGAAGGAGGAGAAGACTGAAGGCTTGGGCAAGTTGAATAGCTTCCCACCCCCCCAACAGGAAAGTAGCAATTAGTCGGTAGTTCTGCTGCATTGTTAGATAACCCCAGTTAAAATAAGGACAGCCACGTCTCTGTGTAGCATAGCAAGATTTGTCTTAAACTAAGCATAAAGCAGAATTTAAAAACCGTGTTAGGTGCCTTTTTCCCCCCATTTCCTTTGTTTGCCTTTGTAACCAGGAGAGGCTGTAATGAGAAATTGACTAACCTGCTTTGTGCCCTGCTCTCTTCCCCCCTCCCTCCTTCCCCCCCCCCCCCCCCCCCCCCCCCCCCCAGACGGAGACGTTGCTTTTCAAAGTGGAGAAGAGAACCTTATGTGACTGTTTAGCCACCAATGCCCTGAACTGAGTCCTGCAGAGACACTCTCACACACACACATACACACCTGGGAGGATCTTCCACGGCGCTTATCAACCTGCTGTTAGGAAAGAAAAGAGGCCACGCCTGTAAAGCCGACGGCTTCGGAAACTGAGGGGAGAATGTTGGTATGAGATTGTCGCGCCTGAATTCAGAGTGTTTTTGTCTTATGTCCGCCCGACCTCCCCTTGTGTCCTCAGGAGTTGCAAGGTAATTCCCAGAGAAAAGGAGAAAAAATGGGAGGGACAACGATGGACTTTTGCAAAGCATTGGAAGTTTTGTTTTCACAAGCTTTCTTCTTCAATGTTATATTCCCCCCCACACACACACACACACACAATTAAAATTAATGAGTGAAGACTCCAGCAGGGATTCTAGGGATCTTTTGCCGGGACTCTTCTTCTCATGAGTGTTTTTAGAAAGAATTGGACATTTCTGCCAAATAATATATACAAAGCAGGCTTTGATCATAGGCAAAATATGTTTTTGATGGTGTGCAAAAGATGTAAAACGCAACACAATCAAGTTGGAGGCTGAGTCATTAAGCGATTTAATTATTGAAGAAAATTAGCTGAACAGTTAACGAGGAACCGTTTCAAAAAATGATCAGCCCTGCCATTGGACTTCTCCTTGACTTGAGGGAACAAGGTTTCCTTAGGTAAAACTTTGTGAATAAGGCCTGGGAAGGTTTTCCGTTGTCGCCTTTTCCTTGCAGATCCGTGGAAGCGCATCTCTAGCCAGCCCTTCGCTCTCCTGTTCTTGGCGCCCTGAGCAATGTGTAATTCATCTCCCGACTGTTTTAGCCGAACTGGGTTCTTCCATTATCAGTGCATCATAGACGTTATCTGCGTATCGTTTCTTTTAGAAGAAATGGATTTCTGTGAGTGCATGCGTGTGCATGTGTGTAAATGTACAAACGCTCCAGTGCTGGGGAAACACACTTTTTAAAATAAAGATCTGAGGTCCTGACTTTGGGTTGCTATATTCCAATTCATGCATCCTTTTTTGGGGGGTCGGGGGGGAGAAGCATAGATATTTTATGAATTCTTAATATTTCTATGGTATAATGTTTATTGGCCTGATTCTGGCTTTAGCAATCTTTTTGGACTTCACTCTTCTGTTATTATGCAATATTCTCAAAAGGCCCAGTTCAGGTGAATATCCACTTTCACTTTTGAAGGTTAAAAAAAAAAAACGTGGCTAAGTTGATTGCAGAAAAAAAAAAAAAAGCTTTAAAGCCTGTAAGAAATGAAAGTTCATTTCAGTTGCATCTCAGAAGTTGGATTTCAGGTCCCTCGGGGCTCCCCCGTCAGGCCTGCAAAGATCCAGGGATCCAAACGTCATGGGTTCCTTTGGCCACAAATCCAAATATAGCTTGCCTGGCCTTTTTATTTATATTTAATCCTCCGTCTGTGGTAATAATCTGCATTTGCCTGTATCTGCAATATGACATTCCCATTTCCACGAGAAAGGGCCTGTGGGGCTGCATGCAATGGCAAAGCAGAGATTAAATACTTGGATAATTGCTGCTTATATGCAAAAAGCGGGTGGGGGGGGAGGAGACAGGCCCAACATGCTAGAATGCTGAACTCATCAGCCTGAGAAGGAGGGAGAAGTCTGGGCCAGGACGCCAACCTTTTAGCTGCTCTCCGGAGAAATTGCAGGAGACCCCTGTCAGGGTTTAAAAAAAGAAGGGTGGGATCCTCCCCCCTCCCAATAATTCAACTACCAAGGGGTTGAATAGCAGTGGGGGGGGGGGTTCTTCCCCTTATAACAATGCTGCTGCTATTAAAACAGCAAGAACTACAACCTTGTTTAAGGAACCTCAAATGCATTTATTTAAAATGTTGCCAGAAAAGTGTTTCTCAGTTGGCTCATCTCTTAGATGGGTTCAGATTTCTTCACTTAATTGGATTCAGTGCAATGTTTGTGTGTGAGTGTGTGCGCACGCACGCAGATGGTTGGATGAGGATGGTGGGTGTGTTTGCACATATGGTGCATGTGGGAAGTTTTAGAATAAAGGGGTTTTAAAATTACATCTGCATAGCAGGAGCAGGAGCGTAAATCAATCCTTTGCCTCCCTCAAGGGAGAAGGGAAGCCGCCCCAGCCAGGCTTAACTGGGTGGATAATCAAGAAGTTACGGAGTATTTTGCTGGATCTTGTCTGAAATGGCTGCAGTACCGTCTATTATACCCACCGAGATTCCCATCCACTAAACATGAGACCCCAGAAGTCTCTTCTGGAAGAGCCCAGGCTGGCTGCTGGCTGCTGCCCGTGTTTTCGAGCCTCTCCCTCTCTGAACGAGCCCCGTTCATTTTGGAAGATAAGGACCATCCGGTGCCTCCCCGGTTCTTCACGCTTTCACAGGGGATCACACAGGCAGACCCTGCCGAGCCCCCCGTCCTCCTCTCCCTGCCCAGCCTGGTCCCAGAGGAGCCGTGGGACACCAAACGAAGCGGTTTTTATCCCCTGGTCGTGTTCCTGCTGGAGCTGAGCATCGGTCGGGCCCCTTCCTTTCTCTTTGGCTCTCCACAAGGGGCTTCCTTGTAAAGGGAGAAGGAACAAAAGAGGAGGTGAGTCATTCGGCCCCTTTTTTGGTTCCATGCTAGCATTTTGCCATCTCCGTTAAGCCAAAGCTTTATTTGGAAGTTCTAAAAAAAAACAACCTCAGTTTGACGCTTTCTTTAGTCTTTGCTAACCTCCGTTCATTCTGAGTTTTAGCTCTATTTTTTTTTTTTTTTTTGGTTTATATAGGTAGTCCTCAGCCTGTGACCACAATAGAGCCCAAAATTTCTGTTGCTAAGCAAAATATTTGTTAAGTGAATTTTGCCCTGTTTTATGAGCTTTCCTGCCACCATCGTTTAAGGAATCGCCACAGTTGTTATGTGAGTCACCTGGTTGTTAAGTGAATCCAGCTTCCCCACTGACTTTGCTGATGGGAATTGACCAGCCGGGAATGTCAGCATTCTCAATCATGGGACCTCAGGGGTGCTGCAGTCGGGCCCTCGAAAACCAGCCGTAACTACCTCGTGTTCACCGCCTTCCTAAGATTAAAATGCTCACTGAACGAGTGGTTGTAACCCGAGGACCCCCTGTAGATGTAAACAAACAGAGGCAGCCACACCAAGTGTGCAGGAGCTCACCGCACCCGGCCCAGGAGGGAGCTGAGCCTAATGAAGCATAACCAGAGGGTCCTTCTGCCCTGCCGGTTATTCAATCCAACAGATTCCAGAGAAATAGAAGTCTATTCATCCTTGGAAGGATCATAGGAGGAGGAGGAGGAGGAAAAGTGCATTGCCGGAATTGGGGTTGGTTAGGGGTCTCATTTGGGGGAAGTGGAAATAAAAATATGCCGCATATTATTCCATAGGAAGCCTCCTCCGTAACCAGATTCCAGAAGCAGACCAGGGCCGTTTGCGCAAAGGGAAAGTTTGAAACGGTTTGTGTTTAAATGCTTCCATCCAAAAGGGCAGCGACCTTCACGTGTGGCCCCATCCACGGCCTGCTCTCTCTGCCCACGTTTAGCCTAATCTGTTGGCTGACACCGACTTCCCACTTGAAGCCCTTTGGGCCACTGCTCAGTAGCCTTTCCCAGTCACTTGCACTGAACGTACCTTAAGCTCGTACCGCCCTGGGTGCTTGTTAGTCTCCGTGTCATTTCAGAAGCCCCAGCACAAATGACCCTATTGAGAGCTGGAACCAATCCTTTCACAGCGGGTTAAATCCTGGGGGCCCTCCGAGGCAATTATAGTGACCTAAGCATCGCTTGGTGGTCAGTGTGCAATTCCCACTGTTCCTGTAGTAGGTCAGATGAGTTGGTGGCCTGGGATGCAGCTGGTCACTTGCTGTTATCTACTGTCAAGACGCAAAAGATCACAATTCAAGTGGTTTATTGCTAAGCCCCCCTTGGCCCAGGAATCTTCTCCACTAACAGGCGGCACCTGCTTGGAGTCAGAGAAGGGTCAGCAGAATTCAAGTTGGGCTCAGCTCGCTTGTGGCCACGTAGGGATTTAAGGCTGGCCCCTCTTTTGACTTGGTGAAGTCAAGTGGTGGGATTCAAATCATTTAACAGTCGGTTCTCTGCCCTCATGATTTCTTCCAACAACCAGTTCACCAAACTGCTCAGAAAGTTAACAACCGGTTCTCTTGAACCGGTGCGAACCGGCTGAAACCCCACCACGGCCCCCCCCCCCCGCCCCGTCCTCTGCCGCTCCTTCCCCTACGTCAGTCTATCGTTGCTTCCTTCTGACTTTGCCCCCTTAAGTCAAGACAGGGTGGCTGGCGTGCGCCCAGCAGGATAGAACCAAGCTCAGGCGATGTGATGGTACCACTTTATACTGCACTTTATACTGCAAAGCGGTATATAAATCTAAGGGCTATTGCTATCTGTCCCGAGAGGGCCATGTGCATTGCAGGGAGGGCCAAGATCATATTTTTAATGATCATTTCTGACAGCGGACGAGTCAACCTGTCTGTGGCAAGCCGACTTCAGACAGCAGTGCTGGGCAGCTTCCGC